ACTGAGGAACATTGTGCTAAGTGAAATAAGCCAGAAGCAGTAAGAGAATTACAGTATGATTTCACATGTGAAATCTAAAAACGGTGACCTCATAGAAACAGAGTACAAAATGAGGACACAGAAGATGGAATGAGGAAACAGAAGAAGTGGATCAGAGGGTAAAAGGTTTCCATTAGACTGAAGAAAGTTTTAGTGATTTCTTGCACTGCATGTTGACCACACATAATAATGTATTGCATATTTCAAAATTGCTAAAACAGGTTTTTAACATTCTTACCACCACAAAAAATGATAAATTAGTGAGATGATATATATGTGCTTATGGTTCGAATGTTTGTTCCCTCCAAAATGCATGTTGAAACTGAATGCTTAATGTGGTAGTATTGAGAGATGGGGCCTTTAAGAGGTGATTGGATTAGGAGAGGTCTGTCCTCATGAATGGATTAATCTATTCATGGATTACTGGATTAAGGAGTTCATGGATTAAAGGGTTATCATGGGAAGGGAACTAGTGTCTTTATTAAAGGAAGAGAGACTTAAGCTAGCAAGGTAACATATTCAGCCCCCTTGCCATTTGATACTCTATACCACCTTGGGACTCTGCAGTCTCCACCAACAAGAAGGCTCTCACAAGAAGTGGCCCCTTAATCTTGGATTTCTCAGTCTCCATAACTGCAAGAATTAAATTCATTTTCATTATAAAGTACTTAGTTTCAGGCATCCTGTTATAAATCTGTTATAACAGAAAATGAACTAATACACTAATTAGATTATTTCTATAATATATGCATAGTTTAAAACACCACATTGTACCCCATAAATATACATCATTACTGTCAATTTTAAAAAAACAAAATATCACTACACATCTATTGGAATAGCTAAAATAAAAAACTGTGACAACATCAAATATTGACAATGATGCAGATGAACTGATCACTCATTCACTGCTGGTGGGAATGTAAAATGGTATAGCCACTCTAGAAGCAGTCTGGCAACTTCTTTAAAAGCTTAGCTTGTAACTACTATATGATCCAGCAATTGTACTTCTAGGCTTTCATCCCTGAGAATAAAGACAATGAAGACTTACATCCACCCAAAAACCTACACACAAAAGTTTATAGCAGCTTTACTCATCATACTGCAAAAGTGAAAACAAACAAGATGACCTTCAAAGGGTGAATGGTTTTAAACAACAACAACAACCGTATGCAGGCCTACCAGGGAATACTATTTAGAAATAAAGGAAAAAACTACTAAAATAAATAAATAAATAAATAAATAAACTACTGACATATGCAACAACCTGAATAAAACTGTAGATAATTACACTCAGTGGAAAAAATAAAAACACACAGTGCCAAATAATCACATACTATATGATTCCATTTTTATAACATTCTTGAAATGCACAATTATTTAAAAAGATAGTGAACATACAGTGGATGCTATGAGTTAAGTAAGTAGAGGAAGCAGTGGGAGGGAAGTCAGTGTGGCTATAAAAGGCCAGTATGTGGTATTCTAGTGGTGACAGAGTGTTCTGTTAGACTGTTCAACAACTGAGCGCTGATTATTTTGATGATCATTTTACAGATGAGGCAACTGAGACTCAGATGAGTTAAGTCCCAGACCTAAAGTCGCACAGGTAGTAAGCAACACAACTGGAATTCAATTTCAGGTGTATCTTCTTATTCCAGACTTCATGCTCCTTTTTTTATACCACTGATTAACATCATTAACCAAATGAATTTCTACCAAACATTTCATTTTTCCACTTCTCAAATACTATGAGATGGTGCAGCTGCAAAAGCATGCAAGTGTATATTTCATATAACATCACAGAAGTTTTAAACATTCATATGCAGAACCAGAAGGTAATGTGAAGTGGAACCTTGCTCCGGAATCCCTGCCACCTTTCCTGTTGGGAAGTTTCTGGGTGGGGTTAGAATATCTCTAAGGTGCCCAGGCTCAGATTTTAGGCAAATAGCTATAACCTGTCTGACTGGGTAAGTTGATTTACATGGACCACATCTACCAATTTTATTCAGGCAAATTGTGTAATGTAGCACTTCATGAGTATGAGAAAACACAAAACCAATTAAAGACACATTTACAAAATCCTCTACCATACTCTTTAAGGTAAAAAATGCTTCATTTTAAGAGTCCATATGCAAAGAATTGTATGAATAGTTTATAATAAAGAATGGCATGAAGCTTAAGTCTGTAATTGTTGTAAAAGAAATTTCCCATTTCAACTGGCCAACTGGTAAAACAGGCTGCTGTCTTTACAGCTCTATGTTGGTCTCCAGGGATGCATCGAAAGAAATAAATGTTCCCTGCAGATAGGAACAGGCTGATGAACTGCTGCTTATGCCTAAGAGGCCACCCATGTTACAAGAATACTAAGAGCACTTTTTTAACTACTTGCAAGAATGGAAACTCTGAAACACAATCATAGGTGATCACAGGCTACCTAGTGCAAGTCGTCTAATTCGTTTTGGACCCTTTCCCATTCCAGCTGCACTTTTCATTCACAATCCTCCTATACTGAGATGTTTCCATGAAGCCCTGCATTCCCAGATTTATGGTTAATTCATAGACTCTCACCGCTGCAAAGATCCTTGGCCGCTACAAATGAGAGTTCCACTCCTTGGCCAAATTATCTGCTACCACAGCACTGTCATGCTCTGCTTGGAATCTTCCAGGGCTTCCCACCAGACTCCCCATCTTGCTTCCCCACCCTAGAATCTTGGCATCCTTATTAATCCCTACATTCTAGGCAAACCAAGCTATTCATTATTCTTCACACTCATCGAGTTTTGTTTTGTTTTTGTTAATACTGAACCTTCTACCCGGAATACCCATTTCCAAGTGTCCCAAATGACTCAATTTTAAAAACCCAGGTTGGATGCCAACTCTTCCCCTTCCCTCCTCCACTCCCCAGGTCCGATTGTCTCCCTCCAATCTGCCTTCTTTTGACTTTCCACAAGCATTGTACCTAATGGCCCAGCCACTTCCTACACCTGCCTCAGCTACTGGTGTCTGGGGAATTGTCTCTCGTGGGGCATATGATACAGAGGGCTGCTTCTTGTTTTTCTCTATACCATGTGTCCAATATTTTGGCTTCCCTGGGCCACACTGGAAGAATTGTCTTGGGCCACACATAAAATACCCTAACACTAATGACAGCTGATGAGAAAAACAAAGAGAAAAAAAAATCGCATAATATTTTAAGAACATTTACAAATTTGTGTTGGGCCGCATTCCAAGCTGTCCTGGGCAGCACGGAGCTGGTGGGCCACGGGTTCAACAAGCTTGGTCTATATACCTTCAGTCTCTGGTGGAGTGCCTGGCACAAAGAACTGCGGAGCAAATGTTCACTGAATGAAGGAATAAGGAACCCAAGCCCAGAGAAAACAATGAATTACTTTTTCTAGCACGAGTCACAGTAATAGTCCTGAATGCCAAGGGAATCTCACCCTCCAAGTTTCCAAAATCTAATATAATAATAGTTACTTGTACTATTACTCGTGTTCACTTCAGTGAGGGCAGTGGGTTTAAAAAGGCTTAAGCAGGCCGAACGTGGTGGCTTAAACCTATAATCCCAGCACTTTGGAAGGCCGAGGAGGGTGGATCACGAGGTCAAGAGATCGACCATCCTGGCCAACATGGTGAAACCCCATCTTTACTAAAAATACAAAAATTAGCTGGGCGTGGTGGCGTGTGCCTGTAGCCCCAGCTACTTGGGAGGCTGAGGCAGGAGAATTGCTTGAACCCGGGAGGCGGAGGTTGCAGAGAGCCGAGATTGTGCCACTGCACTCTAGCCTATCGCCTGGCGACAGAGACTCTTGTCTCAAAAAAAGAAAAAAAAAAAAAAAAAAAAAAAAAAAACCTTACTTAGATTGGGTTTCTAGTCCCAGCTCTGCCACTTAACAGCTGTGTAACCTAGGGAAGCAAGTCTCTTGCCCTGTGGACTCAGTTCCCCAGTTTGTGAAAAAGAGGAGATTGGATTAGATTTGTGGTTCTCTAAACATTTCAACTTTTCCCGCTTGCCAACTGGTTAGAACACGGTTGGTTGCCGGGGCGCCTCGAGGTCCCCCCCACTGCGCCCAGCACACCTCACTCTTAAGCCGGGGTCGTCTTCTCGCACCAGGAGGCAGGTGCGTGTGTCCTGGGGTGTCCCTTGGCCTCGCGGCTGCCCACCCCGCCGCTGGCGGCCGCGGGACGACTCCAAGTGCACCCGGGAGAGACCCGGGAGGCCGGCGCCGGCCACCACTCAGGGCCGTCCTCCAGGGCCAACGCCAGCACCAGCGACGCCACGCGGAAACCGGCCCGGCCGCCCCTCCGCGGCTGTGGCACGCCCGCACGCTCCGGCGTTGACGCGCGGGCCCCGGCGTCTGGGCACTGCCCAGCCGGCACGAGGCTCCGACCATCGGGGAGTCTCCCGCTCCGCCCATCGGGGAGTCCCGCTCCGCCCAGGAGGCGGGTCTCGGTCGCCCCGAGCCGCGCTACGCCCCGAGCCCGGCTTCGCGAGCCCGTCGAGGGCCTACCCTTTCGTGCTCCCGACGCAGCCGCCTCCGCGCGCGCACGCACGCAGCGCACACGCTCGAGCGCCAACAGTCCCAGCGCAGCGCCGGCTGCGTAACCAACTACGCCGCCCGCGGCCCCGCACCGGCCTCGTAGAAGTTCCCGCAGCCAAATTTCAAGGGACCAGGCGCTGTGCTAGGCGCTGCGGTTATAAAGCTGATCGGTTTTGTTGAGCTCAGGAATGTCCGGGTACAGCCATCATGAATACACCCGCTCTAATAGCTCAAAACAAATTCCCTAGGACCCAAGGGATCCTGGTTACCTGCACCCCAAGAAAGCCTCTCGGCCTTGGAGTCACCAAAGCTGGGGAGGAAGGACTGGCCCTAAAACAACCTCACTGCTTTTACACACACATGCACGCAGGCCAGATCTGTGAGTTTAAAAATAAAGCTGGGGCAGGCAGAGTATCCTTTTTCTCACTGCTAAAAAAAGAGAGGCCAGGAATACTAACCGGCTAAGTAAAGAACTCTTGGAAGACAAAGTGATCTTTATGGAACACTGCGCAGGACTTGACTTCCACCTAGGCATATCTTAGATGTTTACTCTGATGTAAATGGAATCGCAGCTAACAGGATTTCTTTCCCCCGTTTATTTCAAGGCTAAAATATCTCGGATTTTATGTGTTTTGTCTTAATGGGATACCAACTACCTAAATATGCAACTGTTTTTCATAAAGCTGTTGGCTTGTGTTATGAAGGTGAATCAGTGATCTGAAATTTGGGGCTGGATGGGCACCTTTGGAAACAGTACATAGAAGAACATTGAAAACATGTAATTATTGGCAAAGTGGAAACTAGAACATTTGAGAGATTGTAGCTTTTTGTGCATTAATATTTTTCTTACATGTTCCTTAATATATATTCAGAGTTAAAAACTGAATCAGATATGCCTTTCAATAGCCTTTTAATATCTCAAAGAGAAAGCCATAAACATGCATTTGCTTTATGTTTCTCAACTATTTCAATTGAGTCATCACTCTAGAAAGTGGTTCATGATTTTATACAGGAGAGTTATTGTGAGCATTTATAAAGCCATCCTGTTTATGTGCTAAATTTATTGTGTTTGCTGGGTTAATCTGTTTTCTCTAATCAAACACTTAATCATCCAGTCTCCTCCTTGCGTTATAGATTCATGAATGTGAAGTGAGGTGAGTTGCTCAGTCAAGGTAAAATGATAAATTATCTTTTCATTTTCAGGGTATTTGTGATTAAATGCTTCATAATAGAATTAAAATGAAATAAATCTTGGAATTTTACTTCTAGGTTCCTGCCAGGTATAGATAAAATGAATTTGGTTAAGAGCAAATTCAATTCCATGCCTGAATGGAATTTATAGGAGAAATGTGGAAAGCATTGTAGGTCAGGAGAGCCCTGAGTTCTCTCTTCGTTTCTATGAACTGGAGAGAGAGTTGATCAACTGGTGATACTCTACGGATGAGCAGCAGAGAATTAAAATTCCCATTTAGAAAGAATGAGGACTTAGTTTTGAGCAGTAAAAGGCGAAGTGTGTCTGAATCTAGAGTTGTAATCTGGGACCTCAGGAGCTGTGATTGAAGCAGATGTTAAATTACAATTAAATAAACAGTTCCTATTATTTTGGCCATTGTAAGTGAAGCCCTGTGTGGCTGGCTTTCTCTGCTGCTGCCTAATTATGTTGTAAGAGTTGAAGCATATTGAAATAAGCATAATGGAGATGAACTCATTTGTTGTCCTGTTTGTTGTTAAGTGAATAAAGTTCACATTCCAGAAAAAGCACTACAAGGTAACAAAAAATCACAATTTGCCTTTTAAGACATGGAAACTAGAACCGATTGGCATTGTGTGATATTAGACAGAAGTCTCAAACAACCCCATATGTTTTGTGCATATTTTACAATTAGTGAAGCACTTTGATTCTGTTGTCTCATTTTGATCCTCACAGCAAACCTGTGACTCCTCAGGTCCTGGCAGTTGGTGTTAGGCCGGAGATGTGGAGCTCTGTACTTTAGGTTTCCTGGGGTAGAATTGAAGTTGGGCCTCTTAGGCAAAAGCTCTTCCTCTACCCAGACTCCCTCTTTCATCAGGCAGCAAAAGAAAAGCCTTTTTTTTTTTTTTTTTTTTTGTAAGTTTTAAAAACCACAGAAATAAAAGAGCTGCACAAATAACTGAAATATTTGCCAAGATAATACAGAGATGGTAGGGTACATGAGCTAGTATCTAGGAGTTGAGACAATCATTCCAGTAGTTCCAACCCCAGCCCCCAAAATCTATGCTGTTAAAGTAAAAGCTTTTTTCTTGACTTGAATGTCCAGGTCACCTGTCTGCTCAGACTGGCTTTTTTTTCTGTACGAATTACTCAACGCTCTAATTCAATCTGCTTTGTATATTTGTGGTCAGTATCATTGGAACCAAAAATCTGTTTGCTTGCAGATATTTCATGTAGTGTACATTCAAGCTAGGTAATGTCTCTGCAACTGCTTACAGATATTTCATGTAGTGCACATTCAAGCTAGGTAATGTCTCTGCGACTGCTGTTTCTTGATGATTATATTCATTTGAAATGACTAAGCTTGGTAAATTAGGCTAAGCCAATTTACCAAGCTTAGTCATTTCAAATGAATATAATTTACCAAGACTGTGGAGCTGTCAAGGGATGAATGAAGAAAAGAATAATGTTATGGAGGCTACATCAGAGACAAATAAATCTATCAGCATATGGCAAGGCAGGAAGGACAGGGATATGCCTCCTATAGAAGAAGTTGCCTGCGTTCTTCTCAGAAAAAAAGGCAATGGAAAAGCAGTGAGTCACGAGTCTTGGGTTCTGAGCCTGGTTCTACCATTTGCTAGCTGTATGACAACAGGCATGTTTCTTAAACCTCTGAGCCTCATCTTATACATGTATGAAACAGTAAAAATAATAATGTAGCCTGCCATCTTTACAGATTTGTGAAAAAGCCTTTTAAATATATAAAACGTTTAATATATATAAGAAAGATAAATTCAAGCTATGGGTATGACACAAAAATATACTTGAAAATTATTCTTAAATTTCACCATATTTAGGAAGAGATGGCTAAATATAAACATACTATTCCTACTTCTGCATGTCCTGTTTGTCTCTTTGCATTTTAAATTCAGAGCAAGCTATCTTATTAATTGTAACAGTTAAATAGTGTACATTTCTGTTATTTAAAAGTGGTACTGACGATGTAATTAAACTTTTATTATCTTTTTTTGATCTAATAAATAAGTGCATGACTAAAGAAGGAGACAAATATCAATGATTTCAGAGATTTTGCCCTAAGGGAAAATCATACGATGAGTTTGGAAAAAGGTAATTCTGACTTGTCCTCTACAAAATGCTAAATTTCTGCCCCAAATCTTAAAGCACAAATGTTACGGGATTCTTGGTGACAAGAAAAGTGATAGTAAATGCACTTTAGCACTAAAATTCATGTATCCATGGAAACCTGTGAAGTTCTGTAAGCACACACACACAGCCTACAGTATTTATTGAAGAGCTAAGGCAACAATCAGTGGGTTACTATGCTGTGAAAAGGCGACAGATTGCTGGGAGCTGCTCTGCACAGGCATGGGTGAGGTGGTTTTCCCCTGCTAAAAGTAATTACAGAGAAATTCAGAAATCTCAGACATTATTGAGACAAAAACCTGTTTATTTATTTATATATACTTGTACCTTTCAGAATAGTGTCCTTAAATCAGATTTTTAATCAGAAAAGCTTTGAAAAGTCATCAGCATTTCCCCTTCCCACACATTTGTAGCCATGGTCAAAAACTCTCTAGATTTTCCATGCATGCAAAGAAAGACATTTCTTAAATGTTGGAAGAGAATGCCCCCAGTTTTTGCCAAACTGATTATTCCTGGATATTTAAATATGTTCTTATCAGTGTTTCCTAATGTATAATGACTTTGAGAGCAAAGAGCATAACAATATTTGGGGGAAAGAATTGCCTGCAAATATCTGAAGTGTTTATTTAACCAAAAACTGATACTCTAATAAAATAAAGAAGTAATGCTATTTCATAAAGGCATATTCATACAGCAGTCTTTTATTAAAACATACATCTCATCTCATTTAATCCTTACATAAATCTCAGTGAGTATTGTTATGCCCATGTTCTCTTCCATCGCCAAGTCCTGGATTCTTTCTCAAATCTTATTCTGAATTTTAGTAACTTGGAAATGATCTGTGTTTGGGTTGAAACACATTGAAACAGAGGTAAAATTATTGAGTTCTTAAGAATACTTCATGTTTTATCCCCAGTTTTCTTTTAAGTTTGGTCTTCTAAAGATGGGCTGTTCAATATGATACCCATTAGCCACATGTGATTACTGAACACCTGAAATGTGGCTAGAGGCTCACATGAGATAATATTCGAATATACTGGTTTAAATACTAAACGCTAATTTCACCTGTTTAAAAACATTGTTTTAATATGCTTACTAAAATATTTTAAAATATATATATGTGGCTAGCATTATATTTCTATTGGACAGTGCTGCTATTGTCCAGAGCTTTCAATAGGGGTCTCTTTTTTTAAATCATTTAGTATATGCCAGACTTTCTCAATCTTGCTACTGACTTGCCATACTTTTCACCAGAATAATGATATTGGTTCACACTGATTGTTCTCACCTGAAAGAAGTGCTTTACATTCTCTTCTCTTTATGGAGCAGGTTTCTCTTCTTTTCTCCCATGCAAAATCCAAGTGGCAAAATCTAATGCCACTTGGAGCCATGGCAGAATCCAAGTACGCAAATCAACCTCGTTCGTTTTCCTGTTTGTTTGTTTTTAGCTCTTTGGGCCTCAATATTTTATTCTAATGTATTTTAATGGAGTTTAATAATTAAGCAAATGATGTAAATAAACCCTTGTGCAAGAGTTTGTAATGATCCAGGACTCTGGTGATTTAGTTTAAACTCATAAGACTGGGGGAAAAAAAGAGAACATATGAAAAAATAATAGTTTGCTTCCAGTTGCATTAGGAATACTTTCACCTGAAAGTAAGAGAAGACCACATTAATAGTAGTTTAAACAACAAGGGTTTGTTTTTCTCATATATTAAGAAGTCTGAAGATAGGCCCTTGCTGGATTGACACCTTGCATCGAATCACTCAGAAAAAACTTGATGGTTTCACCTTTAAAATATATCTAGAATCTAACCTCTTTTCCTACCTTCATCACTTCCACCTGTGTCCAGAAACACTTCTTTTTGTAACATTTTCCTAGCTTGTCCGTCTGTTTTCTTCCTTGTTCTCATTTAATGTTTTCTAAATCCAGCAGCCAGAAAGGTTCTGTTAAAATTTTATAGCATGGGACGGGTGCTGTGGTTCATACCTGTAATCCCAGCACTTTGGGAGGCCAAGACAGGTGGATCACCTGAGATCAGGAGTTTGAGACCAGCCTGACCAACATGGTGAAACCCTGTTTCTACTAAATTAGCCTGTTTCTACTAAATTTAGAAACCCTGTTTCGAAAAATTAGCCAGGTATGGTGGTGCATGCCTGTAATCCCAGCTACTCAGGAGGCTGAGACAGGAGAATCGCTTGAACCCAGGAGGCGGATGTTGCAGTGAGCCAAGATTGTGCCATTGCACTCCATCCTGGGCAACAGGAACAAAATTCCATCTCAAAAAAAAAAGTATAGCATGTTGCTCCCCTGCTCAAAATCTTCCAATAATTTCTTACATCTTTCAAAATAAAATGTAAAATCATTACTGTAGCTTCCAGTTCTCTAGAAGATCTGGAACTTGGTGAACTCTCTAATCTCATTCCCTTCATTTTTCTGTTGTTCACTCAGTTCTAGCCACTCTGATCTTCTTGCTACTTTTTGAATAGCTGAGCGCACCTTCCATCAGGGTCTTTGCAGATGCTGTATCATTTTCCTGGAGCACTCTGCCCACCTCGCCAATATCTGCATGATTTACTCTCATTTTCTTTATGTCTCTCAAATGTGATTTTTATCAGTTGGACATTCCTTTATAAACCTATGTAAAATATCACCCCATGACTCTTCAGCTCCCTTACCCTGCTTCATTATTTTAATCATAGCTCTAAACTCTACCTGATACATATTTATTATTGGCTGTCTTGCTCTCTATTAAAATGTAAGTTCCCTGAAAACAGGGACATTGTTTTTCCATTTGAATTCCAAGCACTAATGCAGTGCATGGAATGTAATAAGCATCCAATAACTAGTTGTTGAATGAATACTTCAGCACCTGGATGGTATCAAGTGCCTCTGTCAGTGTCCCTTGACCTTCTCCTCCTTGCTTCCAGATGGCTGCTGCAGCTCCTACCATCATATCTTTGTACAACCACCTTCAAAAATAGGAAGCAGTGAGAAAAAAGCCTTTTTCCTCCTTTGCTTTTATCTTAACAGGGAGACAAACACCTCCCTGAGAATATTCTATCAGACTTCCCTTTACATTTTCTTGATTAGAACTAAGTCATACAGGTAGATAGGAGGAAGAAGCTCTTCTGTTCTGTTGTACAGTAGGGCCACTATGGTTAACAATATTGTATTATATTTAAAAAGTATATTTTAAATATTTTTTAAAATGTGTTTTTTTAGATGGCTAAAAAGAGGATTTTGAATGTTCTTATCACGAAGAAATGATAAATTACCTGATTTGATTATTGTACCATGTATACATGTATTGAAACATCATACTTTCTCTCATAAATATGTACAATTAGTATGTGTCAATTAAAAACAAAAAAAATTGTTTTTTAAAGAACTGGATCAAGGGCTACCTCTGTTTGCAAGAGAGGTTGGGAAAAGATTTTTCTAAACTTTAGCAAAGGAGACAGACAAGCTAAAACAGTATGATTAATAAAAGCATCATCCCAATAAACTGCCATGATTAGGACACCTTGTACATATCACATGGCTGATTAGAGCTTTGGTAAACCATGAGATTTAAAGGCACTCAATTGAATGCTTTCACTGTAGATTGCTCCTATTTTTTCCTACCTTTTATGTCCTGAAAACGTAATCATTTATATGACTTATTGTTCCAATTTAATTACTATTTTGTTAAAGGAAAACGCTTTCGAATAATTATGTGGAAAAATTATGTATATAATTTTAATTAGGGAAGGTTGATAGAAGGGTATGTCAGATAGAAGGCAGATGAGGAAAAATGGCCAAAGGCATGCATACTTCAGATTGGGACAGAAGGAAAAAGCTGAGAGAAGGTTGACTGAGAGAGCAGTGCAGGTGTGTGGGTAGGAATGGGGTTGGGAGTGAGAGCAGGCCAGAGGGAGTACTGTCACACTTGATTTTATATCCCAATTTATGATTTGCAAAAGTGCCAAGACTTGGTTTTTATGTAACATTTGTAAATTAGACACTCAGAGTGTTACCTAGCAATTTATTTTTCCTTTTGAATAATTTACAAAAGCTTGATTCTTGGCAGGTTGATGGTGTGGCCCACGACAGTGTCCTCAAAGTTCTAAGGGAGCCTAGAAAAGACACTAGGGTTTAGATGCCCAAATAGGCTCCCTTCTTCATGTCTTCCATGAGCTATCCACAGCCTAATACCTTAATCACAAGTGAAGACATATATTTCAGGCTTGACATGTGGGTCACTAGGCAAGAAAACAACCTGTTCAGGACTCCAGGGTAGAGAGAGAGGAAGCAAAGAGACCCTCTTACCTTTTAATTTCAAATATTTGTGTCTTATTATTCCAATTTTCTGGCACAAAAGAAAATAATCACTCAGAATTCCAGAGTCCTAGAGTCAGGGGATGCAAAAGCTTGGACCTCAAGACATGGATGCTTGCACTACCCGACCGTCAGGTAAGCTCTGCATTGTGTGAACACATAGATACTGTGTAATGCTACTGTTTTATTCTGCGACTATTTAAAGTGAAAAGAGAGCTTTCACATTTTGTAGTGACATTCATGATGACATATGAGGCAGCCATTTTATTTTATTTTATTTTTTGAACTTTTTCTTTTTTTAATTATACTTTAAGTTCTGGGATACATGGGCAGTTTGTGCAAGATTGTTACACAGGTATACACACGCCATGGTGGTTTGCTGCATCCATTCCCCTGTCACCTACATTAGGCATTTCTCCTAACGTTACCCCTCCCCAATCCCCCCACCCCCTGCTATCCCTCCCCTATCCCCTACACCTCCCAGCAGTCCCCAGTGTGTGATGTTCCCCTGCCTTTGTCCGTGTGTTCTCATTGTTCAACACCCACCTGTGAGTGAGAATATGTGGTGTTTGGTTTTCTGTTCTTGTGTCAGTTTGCTGAGAATGATGGTTTCCAACTTCATCCATGTCCCTGCAAAGGACATGAACTCATCCTTTTATAGAGGCAGCCATTTAAAAATGAATTATATCTGAATACTTAGTCACTTAGCTATCTTTTGCAAAAAAAAAAAAAAGTATGAATGAGAAACAGGTGAGACAGGATTAATTAAAATCACCACTGGCTGTGAAATCCTTTGTCAAATGCAGCATCTGGGATAGGACACAGACCTGTTGCCCCAAGTTTACATATAATGCATCGTAGTATTGAGCTGGCAGTTTCTCCAGTCCTATAGAAAATGGCTTCCAGTTCTTTCTGTTAAACTATTAAAAAGGAAGAAGAACTTGACAATGAAAAGTGAACACATTGACCTTGAGATAATTTGATTTTCAACCAAATTATCTTACTTGCCATGGATAAACTCTTGACTGGGGTGTGCCCAGAGCAGTGAGCAGGACTGACTGCCTGGTTTTAATTCCAGCTTGGCCATGTGTAGAAGTGTGATGTGGGCAGATTACTTAACCTCTCTGTTCTCCTATTTTCCCACCATCTCCTATGAATACCTACCTCTTTAGGTTAATGTGAGGATTAAACATCTTGATAAATGATAGATCCTTAGAATAATGCCTGAAAAATACTATATAAGTGTTAGCTATTATTGTTTCTACCCAAAGTGGATATGTGGTCAATGGGTAGAAACGTGGAAGAATTTGGTGGAACTAACTCTTCGACAAAGTAGATTTAAGGACATAGGGAGAACAAATATTTCATTTCTAGAGAAAAAAGAATTGCAAACCTATTAATAAGAAATTGTAGCATGATATTTATTTCAAAAGGTATAAAAGACATTGCCTTGTATAATATGGATCACAGCTGTCCATTTCTCTCTGGCTGTATGTCAAAATTGACTCTTCACTGAAACGGCTGAAAAATTTAGCCAGAAACTAATTATTAGATTAAAAAAAAAAACCAGAGAGAGAAAGAAACCAAGTGACCTTTTCTGTGCCCGAACATTGATTCCATTAGGACTATAGAGCCAGTTGAACCAGTATCCTCTAGGCTAGCTAGCTAGAACAGCCTCCTCCTCTCTCTCTCTCTCTTTTTTTTTTTTTTTTTTTTTTTTTTTTTTTTTTAGTTAATTTTTTTTTACTCTTCCTAGGGCTGCCCCAAGCTCAGTTTCTTAATGTTAAACTTTGAATAGTGATGCCATTCCCTGTGGCTTATTGTTATAAGAAATGTCAATAATCCTTGGGTTACTGATATTCAGTCTCTTCCTATTCCAGCTAACACTCGGAAGCTTAGAAGCCAGAGCCTGGAATTTGTATATAAAGCGCAGTGAGGTTATTGGAGGCAAACTGGCCTGTGATGAACCTAAAGGCAAAGCCATTCCTGGATGTGCTGTGACTCCACGGCATGGCTGCTGCACAGCAGCCTCCCCATGTTTGCGTGAGGGACTTTGCAGCGCACCCCTGGACTCTGTCTCAGTTTTAATGACTGTCTAATGGAATTAACATGGTGTCTCATGAATCTACAGGTCGGCCATTTGAGATAACTCCTGGGCTGGTTGGAAGTAGTATCAATAGCTCCAGAGTGCCTGAAAACTACTGAAAAAAATACGTAATAGAAACAAGTTTAAGGGAGAGGAAAAAAAAGAAAAAGGAAAAAAACCCACCACAGCAAAGTGATTATTGTCCTGCTGAGTTACCTTTCCTGCCCACCCCATACCACCCATCCCATTTCAACCGGACCACCAGAAGTTTCTAACACTGATCTGATCATGTTACTGTTCTGATTAAACCCTTCTCTAACACCGACAAGATGAAGTATAAATTTCTCAGCCCTTCATTTTGGCCTGGATATCAGATGCCATTATACCTTGCATGCTTCATCTCCCACTTCCACCTCCCTGTCTGACCCAACTAGCCCCAGCCCCTATACCATATGTTCTAGCCAAATTGAACTACTTAAAATTCCCTAAGCATGACAGATGGCATCTTGTCTCCACGTCCATTATGCCCTTATACCTCCTGTTTCAATGGTAAATGCTTCTAGATTTCAAGGCCTACTTCAGACCACTCCAAAAATGAAGCAGCATTTCCCCCTTCTTTTTTCTCATTGTGTTTCTTTCATAACTTTCTAAAATAATGTTTATCATAGATGCTTTTCTCTTTCCTCCAGTAGACTGTGGACTCCTCGGTATCAAGCCTGGATATTATTCACCTTTGTGTCCATAATACCTAACTTGGGACTGCAGGTGTATGCAGTTATAGCGGGATGAAAAAATGAACAAGCTTGCCTCTCTTTCATTTTCTATCTCCCTTTATTGTTGTTTTCACCAAGGAGTCATTTTGCTAATCACAAGTGGCAGTTCTCACTACTCTGATAATGCATCCCTGCAAGACCTCAGATATAAATGAAAGTAAGGTACATCTCAGTGACTCCTCGAGAGTAAATGAAGGATGATCTATGGAAGCTCCTAACACAAAATCATAAGCTTATAAAAACAGCTGCCCTGCGTCACCTGCTGTCGTCAGTGCTGTTCCAGAAGCTGCTAGCAAACTCAGCTTTCTGTTAACTCAGAAGCTTTTCAGCAGCCTCCCTGCTGATTTGCTTTCTGGTGGGGCTGAATAGAAAACAGCTTGTAGTCAGAAGGCCTGAATTCTGATCTTGGCTCTGTGGTTGAAATTCATATGACTTCCTGAAAGAACTGAGTCTGTTTCCTTGTGTGCAAAACACGAAAAAATAATCCTTTCTCCTGCTCTGCTGAACTTACTGGCTACTTATGAAATTCAGAGGATATAGAGAACTTGAAATCACTTTATGAAATAGAAAATTCACCAGAGGGGTAAAGGGTTATAATATAATATTGTTTACATCTTAACTCTGCCTGTCTGTTTTCCTCAGGAAGATCAAATTAAATACAGTGCCTGAAATATAGGCATTATTCAGCAATATCAAGTTGAGTACAATACCTGAGACATTTTATAATGCAGGTGAAAGATCAGCCTCTACCACCAGTAACCTGGAACCTTTCCTACACTGTCCCTATTCAAAGCACATTGACGAGTTCTCACCATTGGTAGCATTTATTTGTGAGGCCACATGTGCAGACTCAGTTTAGCTACATGGGACCTGGGCATTGACTACAAGGCAAATAAAAGCCATGTCTACAAATTTCTGTGCACCTATCAGAGAGGTGACTGACTAACCTGCATGAACAATCCTGGTTATATCCTTTGAGCAATGGTGTGGCTCTCTGTTATTAGACATACAAAAGGACATATAGTCTTACTCTACTTGGAACAGAATGATAAATCTATTTTGGCTGAAGTCTTTAAAAGGCTTTTGATGTGAATAACAGGGAAAGCTGCTGTAGAGAGTGATAACAGCTAATTCCTACAGAATGGTCACTATCTACTAGGCAGAATTCTTTTGTGTGTGTGTGTGTGTGTGTGTGTGTGTGTACACATTAATGCATTTTAAGTTCTGGGGTACATGTGAAGAACATGCAGGATTGTGGCTAAGAATTGTCCTGCATTCTCTTAACCCACACCAATGCTTTGAGTCAGGTTCTCTCGATAGCTGTATTTTACAGTTGAGAAAAATGAAGTCACAATGTTTGGCTGTGTAGAGCCTGACTCCACAACCTGGATGCTTAACTCTCAGTCAGGTCTGGACCTTTGTGAGGTCCACTGGCAGCTAAAATTTCTCCTAGGAGTGTTAAGAGAGATATTTAGGTATAAAGTGTCAGGTATATATTTTACTCTGCATGGTTCCTCTGTACACTCAACTTCAATAGATTGAGGTGGGAGGAACCAGGGGTATGGATGATTATTTTTCACATTGTTTTTACAGCGGCTAATTGCCCAAACAAAAGGCTTTCTCTGCTTCTTTTCCCACTTTTACTTGAACTGGCAAGATGCAAATCTGAAACTTACGTTTACCAGCCTCCTCTAATGCTGTGTGTGACTATGTGATAACAGCTAATTCACATTATGTGACCATGTTTTAAGCAATAAGATAAAAATGGAAGCATTACCATAGAATAATCTTATGGTATTGAAATAGGAGAGTTCCCTGATTTCCTCTCACAGGACATGCAATGGGGGTGTGGCTCTCCTGTTTGGGTTATCCCACAGCTCAAACACTTAGGATGCAGAGGGCAAGTGCAGAGGCTGGGATAAGTGCTTTGGGCTCTTGGCCCTGCTGTAGTGTCTAGGGGTGGGTGCTGCAACCCTAGTGTTACAAAACTCTTTCAGCTTTGCCATCTTCAGACGGCTTGAGTGTTAATCAGCTCAGTGGACCCTCTGCCTTATTGTAAGGGCAAAGGGCCAGTGTGGCAGGCTTCTGTGTCCTGAGCTCTTGCCCGGTGTCCCAGAAGAATCCGATCACACACAGGCTCAAAGGACGAGTGTAATGTTTTATTGAGCGGTGGAGGTGGCTCTCAGTGAGATGGATGGGGAGCTGGCAGTGGGGATGCAGTGAGAAGGTGATCTTCCCCTGGAATCAGGACACCCAGCAGCTGGACTCTTCTCCAACTGCCCCCAGCTGAACTCCCCTTGGTGTCCTCTTTCTTTCTCTGCCACGTCGTTCTGCCATTGCTGGTCTGCTGATCTGTTGGTCTGCTCTGGAGCATAGGGTTTGGGGTTTATATGGGGGCAGGATAAGGGGTGTGGCAGGCCAAAAGGCAACTTTTTGGGCATGAACACAGAAATATCTGTTCTCATTTACGGCTGAAGGTATTCAGGCTTGAGGGTGGGAACTTTGCCAGGAAACTGCCCTCTTCTACCCAGTATTTCCCTGTCTCCTGTCTGTATCAGTATTTACAGAAAAGGGAGTTAACACAGATGGAAGGCACATTCTTCTTTCTTGCTGCTTATTTATTTCTGTTACATGACATATAAACATGAAGACAGAGCTCTGGTAGTTATATTGGACCATGAAGTGACCTTGAGAATGGAAGCCATATGCAGAGAGACAGAAGGAGCCTGAGTTCCTAATTATTTTTTTGGAGCATTCATGTAAGCACTGCTACCTACTTTACCTTATTTTATGCTAGAAGAATAAATCCTGAGAGTTTAAGTAAATGCTATTTTGGTTTTCCTCTTATAGGCTACTACAACTAATCCTAATTGATATGAAGATTACCTGGCTTTGCCTCTGTTTCATAGACATTTCACTGTGGATTAGCATTTCAACTACAGGGAAGCTGCAAAATTAATCCTATTCACTTTGCTTACTGTTTAATAAAACTGAGAAGAAAAATTTTAGTCAGAAAAAAGGCTGAATTTATTGATTAAAATAAAATCTGGAGGTTCATTTCTTTTTCTAGACCAAATTAAAATAACCAGTCAAGAGCTAATTGGATTTGAATCCTACAAAGAGAAAGACGGACAGCCCTTTTCATCTTCAGTACTCACATGGTAGTGTTATAGAAAAGATACGGCTTCTTGACACACGACCGGGATAATTCAGGCATGTGGACACATTGTAGAGTGGGCAGGGCAGCGTTTATTAGGTGAAAACAAGAAGGGAAACAGGAACCCTACGCAAAGTGACATAGAGTCTTACTAGTAGGATTCTCACCTCACAGATTGAATCCCAGGTTGCCACACAGGAACAGGAGAGGCCAAGCTCCTCTCCCCTGCAAACAACGCAAACTTCCTGAGGCTCCATTCCATCCTCCCAGGGCGCCCTCCCAGTGCAAAGGAGTATGAGAAGCTCCAAGGACCTGTTTCCCAATAAAACTTGCAAAAATATTTTTTTAAAAAAAGACAAACTTTTGGAGCCTCTCTGGAAACGTTCATAAGGGTAAATAGCAAATGAAGTAACATCTATGAACATTTCGTGAGAAAGATCAGAGTGTGTGGTAGCTGAACAAAAACCACTCTTTTCCTTTCCCCTCCAAGCTAAGCCAGGTGGATATTTCCGCAACCGAGAATATAGGGCCCCCTCTTCCTTTGGCTCCCAGTGAGAGAGCTTCTTCCAGGGAGAAGCAGGAATTTATTGTTCAACCTTCAACTGCCTGTTGCTGAGCTTAAATCCCAAGTCGGTGTGATCAAGTAGGAGCTCCATTTCTCCACCCAATTTCCACTCATGGATCTGAGACTCTACCTTGAGTGTGGTATGCTCAGAATACTGCATCCCTGAAAACCCTTTGCTAGTGAGATGCTAGTTTCACACTAAGAGTGACAAGCCTAGGGGACCCCAGAGTATTGGGTATCTTCCCCTTCCACTTAGCTCTCAGCTTCCTAGAGTGAAGCGTCACTCGGAGAAGAGCTTGCCATTGTCCCCACCTCCACTTCCAGAGCCCTGGCTCAGAGGTTTTACCTGGGAGAAGCTGGCCATATAACAGATCACAACCTAATCTCTTCCCCAAAACTGACTTTTTAGGCAATGATATGTGGAGAAGTTTAAACCTAAGGCCACTCTGCAGTTAATAGAGGTTGGAGTAATATAAAGTTGGGAGGAGATCCATGGATCTAGTGAAGATACAGCATAGACTGTAAGCCAGCTACTTTGCAGGAGAGAGCCAGGGAATAGGGCAGCTGGGAGGAACCCTTCCAGGGTTAGGACAAATATCAGACTTTTACCTCAGAAACTGTTGTGTCAAGGGAACTGAAATTTGATTAGACTGGTTTGAAGAAAATTTTATCCTCAGGCCATTGTTGAAAACAATAGAACTCTCACTGGACAGGTAACAGCTGGGAAGGTCAGTAGAGCTGAACAGCTGGATATGGTCAGGAAAAGAGTAGGTGAGTCCTGTAAGTGCCACTGTTATCTGAGGGTAACTGTGAACACAGACCAAGTTCCATCTCCCTGAGTACAAATATCAGAGGCTGAACACTATGGAGCTGACAGGCTAGATTTAACTAAAACAACCTAGTGAGTCACTCAACAGATAAACAACTAAATAATAATTATAAGCCCCAGAGGCCTGGCAGTGCCCCGAACTGCTACAATATATTATCTAAAGTGTCCAGTTTCTAATAAAAAATTACAAGGCATGAAAAGAAACAAAAAACTATGACACACCTAAATAAAAGAAGACAAGAGAAACTGCCTTTCAGAGTGACCAGATGTTCTAACTGCCCAAGGGGTTCACCTTGCCTGCTGCCTAGACAGAGCTGACTCATCAAGACAGGGGAATCCCAATAGACAAAGAATAATTCACTCAGAGCCGGCTGTGTGGGAAACCAGATTTTATTGTTACTCAAATCAGTCTCCCTGAAAACTCAAGGATTAGAGTTTTTAAGGATGATTTTGTGGATAGGGGGCCAGTGAATCGGAAGTGCTGACTGGTTGGCTCGGGGATGAAATCACAGGGAGTCGAAGCTGTTCTCTTCTGCTGAGTCAGCTCCTGGGTGGGGGCCATAGAACTGGTTGGTTGTTACGTAGCCGGTTGTTACAAATGCAAAAACCTGCCGGGCGCGGTGGCTCAAGCCTGTAATCCCAGCACTTTGGGAGGCCGAGGCGGGTGGGTCACGAGGTCAAGAGATCGAGACCATC